GGCTGCTCCTCTTCCGGTGCAGCTCTCTGCTGTGGCCTGGGAAAGCAGTGGAAGATGGCCCAAGTGCTTGGGCCCCTGCACCTGTGTAGGAGACCAGGAGAAGCTCCTGGCTCCTGGCTTCGGATGGGCACAGCTGTGGCCCTTGCTGCCATCTGGGGAGTAAACCAGCGGATAGAAGACCTCTCTCTCTCTCTCTCTCTCGTTCTCTCTCTCTCTCTCTCTCTGACACACACACTGCCTCTGCCTCTCTGTAACTCTGCCTTTCAAATAAATAAATATTTTTTAAAAAACCTGTGTGGCTGCCCCTCGCTTTTCCAGGCTCCTGGTCCACCACTGCCCCCTACACCCCTGCTCGGGACAATGAACGCCCAGTGCCCACATCCACCTGCCCTCCCCTTCTCTCTGCCCCTGTGGACTTGCTACAGCACCTTGGATTCCTGTCTCTCGGTTCCCTCACTAGATGGCACCGTTGCCTACCCTGTGCCTGGCAGTGTGGGTCGGCCATGAGTTGAAGGAATGAATGAATCCATCTCTTTCAAACACAGCCCCAATCCAGGACCCAGCACAATGCACCACCTCCAGCTTCTCCACTTCGTCCGTTTCTGTCCTTGTCAAAGCCCTTTGGCTTGATTTTTGTAAAAACACCAGTTCATTCTATCGTTTCAAAAATGGTCAAGTGACGCCTTCCCATAGCCAGCCAAAGACCTGCATTTTCCCCCAGAACCCTCTGGGGGAAATCCAGGCTGGGGAGAGGTGAGGGGAGGGAGAGAACTGGCAGGCCTTTTTTTAGGTCAGCTTTTTTGGGCACTCAAGGGGTAAACTCATCCTTTTGGGGCTGGTGCTATGGCATGGAGGGTAAACCTATGGGCGCCAGTTTGAGTCCCAGCTGCTCCACTTCTGATCCAGCTCCCTGCTGATGACCTGGGAAGGCAGCAGAGAATGGCCCAAGTGCTTGAGCCCCTGCACCCACATGGGAGACCCAGAGGAAGCTCCTGGCTACTTGCTTCAGAGAGGTCCAGCCCCAGCCATTGAGGCCAATTGGGGCAGATGGAAGAACCAGAAGTTGGAAGATCTATCTCCCTCTCTCTCCCCCACCCTGCCCCCAACTCTGTCTTTCAAATAGAATCTTTTAAAACACTCACAGACACACGCACACACAAACTCACCCTCTTTGCTGGTATGGTTCTGGGTGTGTGACGCTCAGCCACCACCTCTAACATCTGCCACTTTCTGCTCCTTGGCAGCTGCTGCACGTTCTCCGCCTCTAGCCCTGGCAGCCACGTTCCTGAGTCCCTCCCCTGTAGTGTAGCCTTCTCCAGAACTGGCTCTTCTTCACTCCACACAAAGCTTTGAGACTGCCCACTGTCTTGTGCGGCTCGGGAATCCCTTCCCTCCTGCTGCTGAGTGGTTTCCCATTATTTTATTTTTTAAAAGCTTTTTTAAAAGATTTATTTATTTATTTGAAAGTCAGAGTTACACAGAGAGAGGAGAGGCAGAGAGAGAGAGAGGTCGTCCATCCACTGGTTCACTCCCCAGTTGGCCACAACGGCCGGAGCCAGGAGTTTCTTCCTGGTCTCCCATGTGGGTGCAGGGGCCCAAGGACTTGGGCCATCTTCTACTGCTTTCCCAGGCCATAGCAGAGAGCTGGATAGGAAGTGGAGTGACCAGGTCTCGAACCAGCCGGCACCCTTATGGGATGCCGGCGCTTCAGGCCAGGGCGTTAACCCACTGCGCCACAGCTCCAGCCCCTCCCATTATTCAAATACAGAAAAGTGTATTCATCCACTTGTTGGTGCTTATGAATGCAACTGATATAACGACTGGCTTAAAGGTGTTTGGGGTGGACTTGTTTCTATCCCATCTAGGATGGGATTATGAGTCTTATGGAAAGTGCAAGTTTAAGTCTGCCCAACTGAACTCGGAGAACCTTAGGGGAATCACTTAAGAGGAACTGGCACTACGCAGCTTTGAAATCATTTATTCATGCAAACACTCGCTGTGGAAACCCAATAAACGCCAATGAAGAGAAGCGGCTGAAGCCCAATGTCAGCGGAAAGGGAGTAAAATGGAGCTCGGCCTTCCCAGGGAGCTGGGTCCACACAGCCTCCCCGGGTCCCTCGCTGGCCCAGCAGTCACCTGGTGGCCTTGGAAGCTTTGTTCGCAACCCGGGCCACGTGGCTCCCTTGTACACAGGTCATTTATACAACGAGTGGTGAGATGTTCATGTTTTCAATACTCAAAAAGCGAATTAGTGAGAAGTAGCCAGGTCAGATGGAGGCACTGCAAAATTCACACACAAAGAAACGTGCCACCCAGACCATATTTCAAGTGAGTAACATGCAGGAAGGGAGAAGTCATTAATCCAAGGAACTTAGGCCATCTGCCTTCAGGCTCAATCAAGACAAAGCTCCTGAAACACAGTGAAGGCTTCTTGTCCCGTCCCGAGATGAGCGAATCATTCTGAATTAGCATTCTGTCCCTTCTAGGACTGAGCAAATCTGGACCCGTATTGTGGCTGATGGGAGCTGGATAGCTCACGGTTGGAGTTGGAGCTGGAGTTACAGATAGCAAAGAGAGAAGGCATGAAAAGTGTCAGGGAATTCTTTGTGCTATTTTGCAACATTTTTCTTTCTAAGTCTGAAATTATGCTTTAAAAAAAAAAAAAAAAAAGATTGGATTGTATCAGTGCTTCTTGGATTCCCTTTTATTAGAAATCATCCGAGACTTTTTCTCAATACTCACAATCCCAGGGGTGGAGTTTGGTGCAGTGGCTAAGTTGTGCTTGGACTGCCTGCATCTCATACTGGAATCCCCGGGTTTGAGTCCCGGCTCGACTTCTCATCCCAAGAGGAGCTCCGTGATAATGGGTTCCCTGGCAGGCAGCAGGCGACGGCTCACACACCTCGGTCCTTTCCACCTACATAGGGTACCTAATGTGAGTCCCAGGCTCCTGGCTTCAAACTGACCCAGCATGGCTGTTGCAGGCAGATGGAAGATTCTCTCGCTGTCTCTCTCTCTCTCTCTCTCTCTCCTTCCTCTTGCTCTCAAATAAAAATGAATAAATAAACGTTTAAAAGAATTAGAAACCCCAAGATCCCCTCCTCTCCTCCTGTATCCCAAATGTGTGTCAGTGTGTGTGGGCCTGAGAATGTGCATTTTATGTCATTGGAAAAATTCTAGAAAGGCTGGATTAAGTGACCGCTGACGTCCTTTGGCTCTAAGCTCTGGAACAGGCAAAAGTTAAGCCGGTTTTGCTTTTTCTGTATTCAGGAGCTGGAGAGATACAGACGGAAGATCATGGGAGGGCCGACGCGAATTGTCGGAGGCTCATTCCACACGTACCCACAGGACAGAGGAAAGTCCTTTAGGCAATCGTCTAGGAAAAAAGTTCTGGAAAATTGCTTAATTCTTCAAAAGTCCTGTTATCCAGAGATCTTCTGGACTTAAACATCTCAGGAATGAGCAGCCTGATTTCCACCCTTCCAACAGGACAGAACCCTGCTAGCCCCGCGGCCTTTGTCCCCGCTGCTGTCCCAACCTGACATGCCCTCCCCCGCATGCGGGCAAAGCCGATTGCTTTCTGCGCCTCAAGCGCCAGGTTTTCTGGGTGACCATCCCCTTCATCTGCCCCACCCCGTCTCTCCCTGTTCCTTCACGGGGCTCCTTTCTTTCTCTGCTTATTATTGTCTGGATGTATCTGGATTGGTGTGCCTGCTCAGCCACAGCACTGGCTGCATGCCAGGGTGGACGTCATGGGTTTCAGTCCCTTCTGGACCCCCCAGTCCTGGGGCAGAGCCTGTTCCATCCCCGCCACGCACTCACTAGCCACCGAGTGACTGACTGGGGTACACGTGTCCAGGGACCTGCTTCCTAACGATGAATGAACGCGTTTGCAGGGTGGCAGGTAAAACATGACCAAACCAAGCAGGAAACAGGACAGCGTCGAGATGAGAAATAAGTTCTCTTTGTGTCTCCCACAGTTCAAGAAAAGCAGCCGTTGCTGGAAGTTGGAAGAACATCTCTGAGATTGCAAATGGGTCTTTGCCACAATGGAATTGTGGCCGAGAAAATCAGGGGCTGGCATGCAACTAATACATTCCAAAGTGACCTTAGCATCAAGAGATGCTCCCTGGAAAAGGGGCGGCTTTGGGAACACAGTGGGTCCGCGTGAAGGGTTTCTGGAACAGGATCTGACAGCACCATGGCACAGCACACCGCCTCCCCAAGCCCTAGCACGGGGCAGGGTTTCATGGGAAAATACTTCGAGCAAGCAGCAAAAAAAGGCCTCCAGTTCCCCTGAGCATCGCCCCGCCCCGCCCCGCGCACCCCAACCCCCACAACTGCAAACTCCAGTCTTCAGGAAAAAGATGAAGAGCTCTTCTCTCAAACCTGAGCCCCAGAAAGTGAACCGCTCCCGGGAGGCAAGTGAGGAGACCGTTCGCCATCGGGTCTCCTTCAGCCACTTTCTGGATTCTGCAGCTAGGGGTGTGCCTTCTCCCAGGTGGAGCCAGAGGGTGTTTATGGGGAGGGGGCACTGTCTCCCAGCAGAGCGGGAGGGTGTCCACGGGGAGGGGGCGCTGTCTGCCAGCGCAGCCAGAGGGTGTCCATGGGGAGGGGGCGCCTGAGACAGTGCCTTGGTGAGCAATGTCACGGATGGGAGCACCCCACACCCCCTGGGCGTACTCAGACTTTTTTTTTTTTTTTTTACTTTATTTTAACTTGAGACCCCACAGCATTAACAGAGCTCTACCCAATGAAGTCTTCACCTTGACCTCTTGCCCACCTTTTTGATGCTGGTCTGGCTTGAGCAACGTGAAGCCCACGTCCGACACGCGCTGTGGATCATGGAGAGCTTAGATATTAATCCACTGGAACCCGTTCTCATTTTACATTAGAATTTCTCGATCCCTGTACCACATGTGTGATAAAATGTTAACTGGTAGCAGTGTCCCAGAGTATGCGATAGGACAAAAGTTGCCCAAAGTCATACAAACACCATAAAAGACTTGATCCGATTTCATTGATTTAACATTTCGACGTGACACAGGACGAAAAACAACACAAAGATTAGATATCTAAAATCCTTCATGTGGATCACCATTATCTTTTAACTCGACATAGAACATGATTTTGTTATCTATAAATAAAGAGAATTTACAACACTATTTATCTTTGGTATTAACAGACAAGGCACTTAAACTTTCTCTCGTTTTTTCCCACCATAAAATTACAGTTATACAGAGACGAACTTGAAGCCCACAGATCCTGCCAGGGTACAGTTTCACTTGGAATAGCAGATCGCTGTCACAGGAACAAATTTCATCATGCAGCCCGCAATTAATGTACCAAAAATTTACCAGCCCATATAATTTTATCTGTCTGCCTTCCCCAGAGGAGGTAAACAGATAATAAAACTGATGAAATCATATTTCTTGATCACTCGCATCCAATATACACGGTTACTGTCTTCCGAGCAATTTGCAGGGCCATCGGAGTGTCAGGGCCGGCTCCCGGTGGAGGCGGTATCGGAAGACGGGCGTGTGTGTGCGTGTGTGTGCGTGTGTTGGGAATGCCTGAGTCAGCAACACCAAGAGCAGAGCAGGGTGTGATGTGCCTCTGTGACGATGCATCTCACATCGGCGTTTCTGCAAACATCGTGAAATACTGCACATCAATGAGCAATGCAACGGACGAGAAAACTCAATGTTCCGTCCTTGCTCTCCGCCAGAATAACAAACCCGAAAGAGCCCCTCCATGACCACCCATCTGTCTGGGAATGCACACCACCGTGGGAATACACGCGTCACGCGTGCATCCAAGGACGGTGAGCAGAGGACACAGCAGGCAACACGAGGAGCTGTTTCGGAAACCACAGCCCTTAGCGGCCAGGATCAGTTAGGAGCGTGGCGTCCGTTTAAGGCTGAGCATGCAATTGCTTGGCCAGAGGCCCTTGCGGAAGTATCCCATGCGTGTGGCAGCCCTGGCGCTTGTGCCCACTGTCTTTTGTGGGGTTCTTGTCCTCAAGAACGGGCACGAGACACCCCCTCCTTCCATGACCTCCTGGCTTGGTTTACTTACTTGTCTATTTTTGGTGCAGGTTTGACACCAGCGACTGAGTCCTGAGCAACAACTATCACAGTACTACAGCCCAGGACAGAAAACCTGGACCGGAGGGTGGAGGCCATGCCCTGAGGTGGGGGGAAGGGGCCGCTGAAATCGACATCAAGGGAAGCAAAGCTGACAGGGACAGGCCCAGTGCTTCTGGGGTGCGCGACCTGCATTTCTTCAAGCTTGGCCCTTGCACCCCTCGCACTGGAATCGTCTGAGGGGTCTGCTCCACGGCCTGTGTCCTCTACGGAGCCAAGCAGAGCCACGTGGGGCGGGCTCAGCCAGCTCTCACGTCCAGCACGGTTTACCTGCACTGCACAGTCTGGGCAGATCAACCTGGCAACAAACCCAGCAGAACAGAACACCTGCCAACCAGCAGCAGGCTGTGGGCATTTAAGAAGCCACAAACAAACAAACACCATACAAACCCCAAACCCGTATGGACAGGGGAACCTGCCCTTGGGGGTGAGGATGGCCTTATGGGAAGAGAGACCCTTCCTTCTGTACACCCTCCCCCAGGCTGGCAAGGGAAGGGAATCCCCCCCCACCCAGAGCGGGTCTCCTCTTGCTGGAGGGTCCTCCACACCCTGAGGTTCCCATGGACCCAGCTTCTCCTCACGTCTTCCCAGAGACCTTTCTCCCCTCCCGGAGGCGTTGCCAGGTCCGGTGGGGGCTCTGGGACTGTGCTTCGTGAGATCCGGCACCTGGAGCAGACTCTATTTTTGAAGAGTGATGCAAAGCTACAAGGCATGGTGCTTCTTCCTCCAACTGCGCCAACAGAATCGAAAACCCCACCCTCAACGGATTCCGGACTGAAGGAGACAGCACCCACTGGCCTTCACGCAACCTGCTTGACCCGTGGTCCCCGCTAAAATCACACACAGAGCAGCAGTGCAAATCGAGAACTTCCCCAGTGCAATGCTTTGTGGCCGTGCGCCCCGTCGGTATGAGGACTTTGGGCCACCGGCGGCCAGCACCGTGGGCAGAGTGTCATGGCCGAGCGTTGACAGCAGGCAGGAAGCGCTTAGGGCCTGAATCATGTTTCTTTTTTATGTATTTCTGGCTCAGGAATCCGATACAGAGCAGCTGAGAAATAAATTATGTTGCTGAGGCTGAAGATGACGCAGAGAAGCACGGCTCCGGCTATCTGAGGGAAAGACAAGGGCCTGGCGGCGGCCAGCAGCCACTCCTTCCGCAGAGTCTTGTCCAGGAGTATGGCTTCCATCTGCATGTGTGTGGCCAGGATCACACACACGTGGAACAGCTGGTGGCTGTGACCTGCAGTGGACACACACGGGGCCAGTGAGGTCATCGAGGGAGAGAGACAGGGCTATTGATACAGGTGATGGCGCATGCGCCAAGAACACGAAATGTCCATGAAGACAGAGGGTAGATTAACAGTTGCCTTATGGGGTTGGTGCTGTGGCATAGCAGGTAAAGCCACTGCCTGCAGTGCCAGCATCCCATGTGGGCACCGGTTCCAGACCCAGCTGCTCTACTTCTCATCCAGCTCTCTGCTATGGCCTGGGAAAGCAGTAGAAGATGGCCCAAGTGCTTGGGCCCCTGCACTCCCATGGGAGACCTGGAAGAAGCTCCTGGCTCCTGGCTTCAGATCAGCTCAGCTCCGGCCATTGTGGCCAATTGGGGAGTGAACCAGCGGATGGAAGATCTCTCTCTCTGGCTCTCCTTACCTCTGTGTAACTCTGACTTTCAAGTAAATAAATAAATCTTTAAAAAAAAGTTGTCTCAAGCATGGGGGTAGGGATGGCTATGAACAAAACCCGGCATGAAGGAGCTTCCTGGGGAGAGGGAAATGTTCTAGAACTGACTGATGGTGATGGTCACACTACTTGGTAACCTTATTTAAAAAAAAAAGTCTCCATCTCTCTGATTTTCAACTAAAGGAATCTTTTTTTGTTTTTTTTTTTTAAAGAAGGCTACTGGCGCAAACCAAATCCACTCTTTTTAAAGAGTTATTTACTTATTTGAAAGGCTGAGTCACAGGAGGCAGAGGTCTTCTATCCACTGGTTCACTCCCCAGATGGCCGCAATGATTGGAGCTGAGCCAATCCAAAGTGAGAAGCCAGGAGCTTCCTCTGGGTCCCCCACATGGGTGCAGGGGCCCAAGTGCTTGGGCCATCCTCCAATGCTCTCCCAGGCCATAGCAGAGAGCTGGATTGGAAGTGGAGCAGCCAGGACTAGAACTGGCACCCATATGGGATGTCGGCACTGCAGGCAGCAGCTTTACCTACTACGCCACAGCAACGGCCCCCAAATTCACTTTTAAAATAACTCATCCAGGGGCAGCGCTGTGGCGTAGTAGGTTCGTCCTCCGCCTGTGGCATCAGCATCCTGTATGGGCACCAGTTTGAGTCCTGGCTGTTCCACTTCCAATCCAGCTCTCCGCTATGGCCTGAGAAAGCAGTGGAAGATGGCCCAAGCGCATGGGCCCCTGCACCCACGTGGGAGACCCAGAAGAAGTTCCTGGTCCTGGCTTCATATCAGTCCAGCTCTGGCCATTGTGTCTGTCTGGGGAGTGAACCAGCAGATTAGCAGTCCTTTCTCTCTGTCTCTGGTTCTCCCTCTCAAATATATAAATAATTTTTTAAAAAAGAAATCCTACTATCAGGCTGGTGCTATGGTGCAGCGGGTTAACGCCCTGGCCTGAAGCATCGCATCCCATATAGGCACCAGTTCAAGACCTGGCTGCTCCACTTCCCATCCAGCTCTCTGCTGTGGCCTGGGAAAGCAGTAGAAGATGGCCCAAGTCCTTGGGACTCTGCACCCACATGGGAGACCTGGAAGAAGCTCCTGGCTCCTGGCTTTGGATTGGTGCAGCTCCGGCATTTGCAGCCATCTGGGGAGTGAACCAGCAGATGGAAGAGCTCTCTCTGTGTCTCTACTCTCTGTAATTCTGTCTTTCAAATAAATAAAATAAATTAAAAAAAAAAAAGAAATCCTGTTTTCGATTTATTGATCTTGGAGTCCAGCCTGCGGTTGCCGTGGCAGGGCCCCCAGCACATGGCTGGACGCTCCCCAGTCCTGCAGGAAGGAGACTGGCACACAGACCTGCAGGTGCACGAGGAACAAGGTTGTGTGAAGGCAGAGGGGAGGGTGGTCATCTCCCAGCCAGGGAGTGCAAACCTGGAGGACGCCGACCCTGCAGACACACCCTGACCCCAGGCTCCCGGCCCCCAGGACTGCACGCAGCGTTCGTGTTGTTCCAGCCACCCAGCCTGGGGCGCTGAGTCATGGCAGTCTCACAGGACAAGGTGAGACTTAAAGAAGGAGTCTCCGCCCACTAGAAGTAAGAGTCGGGGTTGTGTGCCCAGGACCTCCCTGGCGGGACCAGCCCTGTCTCCGTCCCAGCAGTAGATAGCACAGAAAGCCACATCGGCAGTGGACATGTGTGCACCGCGCCTGCAGCAGGTAAGCGGTGCCAACAGCTGCCCACCAGGAATGGGTGGAGCTTCCTGCCAGAGTGTCCCACAGGCCTGGGAATTGGTACTGGGCGGGGATTCCCACTTCCAGCAGCCTCAGTTATTCAAGGACTGGAAACGTCTCCAAAGGTCCCGCTAATGATCTCCCAGGGGTGTTTTTCTTCTCTATCCCTAGACCCTAGGACAGGGTGGTGGTGAGTAGCTAAAATGCTACTAAGAAAGCAGCATGCTGGGGAAATCAGGCTCAGGGCTGGGAGACTTCCTGTCCAGCCAGGCAGGGGCCGGGGGTGGGCCCCGTCCTTGCTGTTCCCCCAGCGTTTTGCTGGCTGCCAGTTCTTCTGGCAGGACAACAGAAGAAAAGGCAGTGAAAGGCTGATCGGATCAAACAAAGCAACTCTGGCCACGTCCCTGGGTAGGAAGAGGTGGGCAACCAGGGGGCAACGTGACAGGGCTGCGACAGGCCCTCGGAGTCCCACAGTTCACCTCTAGGGAGCTCTCACCTTGGGATTCGCCAACGCGGGGAGCTGCAGTGACCCAAGGCTGCATCCCACCGTGCATCCCACCGGCCCCGCCCCCTCCCCAGACAGGGAAACAACTCCCCCAAGCAGGCGTCGGCCCCCTGACGGTGACACCATCACCCTCGGCAGCACCCTGTGTCACACCTTGGCGACTCAGGTTCCCAGGAGAATCCCAAGGCCTCTGTCCCCAACCCCTAGAGCTCCTGGATCAAGGGGGTCTGCACGTTCTCAAATGACGCTGACACTGCTGGCCAGGGGTACACCTGAGAGCCACTGCTGGCCCAGGACTCCTGGCCCTACCCACCCACCCACCACCTCACAAGACACATGCTCCTCCCTGCTCTCCGCTGCCCCCTGGTGTCTGCTACCCTCTTTCCTGTTCCCTTCCAGGGCTGCTCCCAATGCTCATTTAACAATGGCATCCCAAGGGGCCGGCACTGTGGCATGGCAGGTAAAGCTGCCGCCCGCAGTGCCGTCATCCCATATGGACAACCGATTTGAGTCCCGGCTGCTCCACGTCTGATCCAGCTCTCTGCTGTGGCCTGGGAAAGCAGTGGAAGACAGCCCAAGTCCTAGGGCCCCTGCACTCACCTAGGAGACCCAGAAGAAGCTCCTGGTTCCTGGCTTCAGATTGGCTCAGCTCTGGCTGTTTGGACCATTGGTGAGTGAACCATTGGATGGAAGCCCCCCACCCCTGTGCCTCTGCCTCTCTGTAACTCTGCCTTTCAAATAAATAAATAAATCTTTGAAAACACAATGGCATCCCATGTTCTAGATACCAATGGGACTCTCCAGCCTGCAGCCCATCAGAATGCATTAGACCGGTTTCTCTTCACCCCTGGCCTCCTGCCTGGCCCTGCGCTGGGCTGCACACCGGGCCTCTGTCACCTTGCCGTGTCACTCACCTTGGCCGGCACCTGGACAGCTTCCTGCCCCTCCCCCGGCCCACCTTTGCAGCTGCAGCCCAGGACGGACCCCACCCCACCCCCTGCACCCCGAGGCCATCGCCGCTCACCGATGTAGTCAAAGCGGCCCGGGGCCAGGCGCTCGGGCAGGTGTGCCGAGTACAGGAAAGAGGCCAAGAGCGTCATGACCATGTGCTTCTGGTGGTACAGGGTGGCTTCGTTCTGGCCGCTCTCCCCTGGGAACAGGAAGAGCTGCAGGGAGGCGGAGGAAGCGCAGGTCACGAGAGGGGGACAGGTGCAGGCGGTCCTTCTCCCTCACCCACCTGCAGCCGAGACTGGGGAGGGGGCCCTGACATCCACACATCTCAGCGTGCACCTCCCCGGGGCCGGAAGGGGCACTGCTGTGAATGTGACCCAGTGAGACCACAGACAGCTGCAGCTTAACCCCCAAAGGCTCCTGGGAGTCTTCGGGGTTATTTAATTACAGGAGAGAAAGAGAGGGAAGGAGGAAGAAAGGAAAAAAGAAAGGAATGGAAACTCAAGAGAAGAGGAAGGGGAAAGAAAAATGCTCCCTGATAAATCGCCACTCCTTTTTTGGGGTAAAATGTGCACGCAGCAGTAGGTTCTCAATTGAAGCCACTTGGAACCGGGGTATCCACTGCATGGCCGCACCTAACAACGGCCTCACCACAGTTTTGTGGGGTTGTCACCTAGAGAGAGCAGTTGCTCCCACCGACAGAGGGTGCCAGGCCACGCCTGCTCTGCTCATCTTGCACCTGAGTAGGGGCAGGCACAGGCTATTGCCCCCAGGTGGCAGACCGGAAAAGTGAGTTGTGAGCCAGGTGGTGAGGCCAGGGTGGGATCCAGGCAAGCCCCCGGGGAGAGCGACACCCCCCACCCCCGCACCGCAGCCCAGCACACGGTGCTGGTAAGGACGCAGACCCCGCGCTGTGCGAGTTGGTGGTGCGTAGGACTGGCTTGCTCTGCCTGCTCTGGCTTCCTGTGTGTGGTGTGTGCCCTCGAGGAAGGGGTGAGGGGAACGGGCTACACTCGCATCTCTGGGTTGCCCCCAGACCCACACTGCTGGAGCCCAGAGCCCTCGCTGACTGCTCCGGCTACCAGGTGCAGCTCTGCCCACCCGCTTCACTCCTGGCCTCGCTGTCTGCGTCTCGTGCCCTGGTCAAGGGAAGGGACTCCGCTCACCAGGTGCTGGGCAGTGCTGAGACGTGTGGTTTTGCTTAATCCTCATTAGCTCCTACGAAGGAGGGGAGGCCGGCCTCATTTACAGATAAAAGGGGGAGCAGCTCAGAAAGGTGATGTGCACTGCCCAGGGCCACACAGCTGGTGCGTGAGCAGAGGCACCAGAACTTGAACTTGGGCCCAAGTGCAAGGATGCTCCCCTTCTTGTCCTTCCTGCCGTCCCTCCAATACCCTGTTCCTCTGTGCGTTCCGTCCAACTCCCATCTACCCTGCGAGACCCTCATTCATACCCTCTGCTCCAGTACTAACACCTGGGATGATGCCAACAGTGAATACATCATTAGACTCTCGCCACCAGCCGCACTGCACAAGTTACCTCCTGGAATCCTGCCCACAGCCTGATCAGAGGTGTTGCCCTGGTGCTCACTGTACAGATGAGGGAAATCAAGGCACAGAGAACTTGCCCTGCCTGAGGACTGGCACCGAGAGTTAGGCTTGCCTCCAGAGCCCGCTCTCCTGCTCACTCTGCAGAACCCCTCGCTGCCAGCCCCTCTCTGCTCACTGCGGCTGCTCCCGAGCCCCCAGTCACACTGCCTGCCTGGGCCTCTGTGGGAGCCGTCCCCTGAGCCTTTCCCGAGTGCTATGAAGGCAGCACCTGGGCCTGGACTTCCGTGTGTCCCCGGGGCGCCATCAGGCAGGGCCCTTACCCTGTAGAAGATGGGCAGGGAGTCCCAGGTGTAGGGGTACGCAAAGGCGAGGATGCGAAGCAACTTGCAGAGTCCTGGCTTCTGGATCTCAAGAAACCTACATCCCGGGCGGAAAGGGAGGAGAAACGGGGCTGAGATGGGTTTCGGGAAACACACACACACACATACACACACACACACACGTGTGCTCACCAAAACCAGCCAGGGCCTGGCAATCAGCCTCTCTCTTCTCCCACCTGCAGGAAGGGAACAGGAGCTCTGAGCGAGACCTCCCGGGAGACCCTGTCCTGCCACGTAAGAGCAGTGGTGTCCAGGCCTAGCTCAGGAGAAGGCGCCAGGCAGAATCCTTCAATGGCCAAATTATTTAACTGCAGTAGCCTTTTAAATGCCCGGTTACAGGGCTGGTGTTTCTGTGCAGTGGATGAAGCCACTGCTTGGGATGCCAGCACCCCATATCAGAACATTAGCTTGAGTCCTGGCTTCTCAGCCTCCAATCCAGCTCCCCGCGAATGCGCCTGGGAAGGCAGTGGATGATGGCCCAAGTGCTGGGGCCCCTGCACCCATGTGGGAGACCCAGATGGAGTTCCAGGCTCCTGGCTTCAGCCTGGCCCAGCTCTGGCTGTTGTAGCCACTTGGGGAGTGAACCAGCAGATGGAAGATCTCTCTCTCTCTCTCTCTCTCTCTGAATCTCTGTCCCTCTGCCTTGCAAATAAATTAATTAATTAAAAAATAAAACCTTACAATTACCATCAGCACAGGGAGATGGGGGATGGGGAGCCATGGCACAGCCTCCTCCCACCCCCGTGGAGGCCCCTGCACGGAAGCCGAGATGCCCCAGCTAGTCAGAGCCACACCATGCAGGGTTGTCGTGAGCGTGCAACCCTGGCAAGGCTGCTGGACCGTGTGCACACACAGGGACACCGGCCTTGCCTCCTCGCTCACCACCACGCCCAGCCCCCTCCAGCCCAGAGCAGAGCTGCACTTGAACCAGAGATGCGACCATCACAGAGGCAGACACTCCACACACGTCACGGCCGAGCTGGCTGGGGGACGGCACAGCACAGGCTGGGCACCGGGAGGACTTCTCGGGCCGGGAGTCTCTCTACCCAAAACCATGGCCCCGATCTGAGGCTCGGGTAGGCAGGCGCTCACGTGCCCCGCCGGTGGGCTGCCTAGGCCAGGTACCTACTTATATCGCAGTGGACTGTGCAAGGCTGGGGCCTTGCAGCCCGAGGCCCCCGCACGGGTGGCAGGCACAGCCAGGGCACTGAGGCTCTCGGGGGCCGTCATGGCTCCATCTGCTGAAGCCCTCAATGCCCTGAGCGCTCTCAGCCTGTGCCCTTGGTTGTGGCCCATGTCATGCTGTCTGCCAGGATGGGGTCTGTGTCCTGGCCCCTGCTCCCCACCCCTGCTCCTCTGTGCCGGTCCCCATCCTGCCCTTTGTCCCTCAAACACTCTCCACGGCTCTCTCCGAGCTCGGCCCATTCCCCAGGCCAGTGTCGCCACCTGACCACTGAGCCAGCTGCTGCCTGGAACCTTTGGCCAGGGGGGTGGGAGTGGGAGTGGGAGGGGGTGGTTCCTGCAGACTCCCACGACTCGGAAACCCTTCTCACAGGCAGGCAGGCACTGGACTGGGTCAGGCCTGGACACAACCAGAATCTGCATTGCTGGGCAAGAGGGGGCCACCTGGGCCCTGAGACGCCCCCACGGCGTCCGGAGACAAGCTCCCACTTGGCTTCCACGTCTCTCCTGACCCTGCCTGTGAATCAGAGAAGGTGAAGAAGGCACAGCAGCCCAGGGAGGTGGAGGGAGAGAAGACGGGGACCGCAATGCATCCTCCCCCGAACAGCAGCCACGGGGGGCCGCGAGGCAGTGCGGCGCGTTGACTGTGAGTGTTTGATCCAGGCGCCCTGGGTTTGAATCCTGCCTCTGCCCTTGGATCCCAGCAGCTCATGTCACCGCCGCGAATAACAGGGAGGGGACGCCAACTACGCCTCCCGTACAGGCGGCTGCCAGGAGTTGATGAAGAATGACGCTCGCAAGGGGCCCTGAACTGCGCCCGGCACAGACTCACCCTGACAAGACGCTGGATTCTAACACACACACGTGTGCCTGCATTGTCTCCACGCTCTCCCCTCCCTGTCTCATAGCTATGTTGCATCAGAAAACAGGGACAGGAGAGAGCAGACGGACCCTGGGCGACTGGCCCAAGGGCCGATGAGCACTAAGGAGAGAGGAAAGCTAGGATTTGAACCCAAGGCTGTCTGGCTCCCTCGTTCCACGCCCCCTCCTTCCAGCCTGCTCCCCTGCAGGCTGAGCAATCCTCAGACCCTGGCCCAGGCTCTCTCTCTCCCTCGACCCCGAGAACCAGGGCGCCTGCCGTAACTGCCTTGTCAGCCTCCCCTGGCAGACCCTGCCCAACCACATCAGGCCCCGTGCACTTCCGGCACCTGCCATTTCTGAGCCAAAAGAGACTTGCTCTCAAAGTGCACTCCCTTGGCCACTTACAAGTGAAGAAATCTGGCCCAGGCTGGTGAGCGCCATCCCCCAAAGCATGGGTTTCCTGCGACTGGAGATAAACATTTCGCCCAGGGGCAAACAGACCAGCCTCTCCAGCTGCAAAGCCGAGTCTACAGGGGAAAAAGGAAAGAGAAAAAGCAGAACAGGAGAGAGACAGCAGCAGAGGAAAAAAGACAGGAGGGCCAGCGGCCACCAGGTCCCTCCTACCACTAAGGTGCAATCCCACCTCGGGCCACAGGGTGTCGCCACAACCAGGGATTCCAGCAGCCGCCGGACACTCCCTGAGGTCTCCAAGGCTCAGCCTAACCCCAGGAGCCAAAGGCTGCTTTTCCTACCTAAACTCTGCCGAAACCCCTTGCAACAAGGCTGGAATTTGGAAGTAGCGCTGGCCACTAGTGGGCCTTGGGAGAAATCGCTGTCTTGCAGAGCTGCACTGTGTGTGTGCGTGTGTGTGTGTGTGTGTGTGGTCATGGCTGTCGTGCTATGGTGCGCACTGCCCTGTTTTAGAGAAGCACAGGAACGCCCGGCCGCAGCAGCACTTTGTCATCTGTTGCGCCCCCTCCAACCTCTGAGAACCACGACTCACTGTGGCGTCTCCTGCCTCCACCCAGGGCTGACTTTCCAACTCCCTCCAGGTTGGCTCAGGCCCCCAGGGCGCAGCTCACCGTCTCCCACCCCCAGCACCGGCCACATGGCCTCTCACTGAGCAGCTCTTTACCAAAGGCCCCCGGCTGCATGTGCCAGAGACCGCCCAGCAAACCTGGCGCAACCCACGCTCCTGAAGGGCGTGAGGCCCCCTTGTTGGGCTTCTGGGTGCCAGGCTTAGCATGAGCAGGCCCAGCTCGGGGCCTCGGCCACCCCCAAGCCCACGGGGTGGGCACACACACTCTCGAGCCCCTCTCGGAGGCTCCGGAACACGCGCATTTGAAGTGAATTCACCAGGGACTACACAAGTATTGCGTGTGCAGACTGACCCTCCTGGGCTGTCCCGGGATGCCAAACACGCCACTGAACCCGCGGTTTTCTGGTGATCCTGTCTCCCAAGTGGTTGCAGATGCGAGGCCGGGGCGGGGCCCGAGGAGCCCTGAGCTCCGCCTCCCAGAGGTCTTTGTTGAAGGCGTGGACAGTGGCTCCCACAAGGGGCAGCGCCTGGTCTGAGGCCACACAGACAGTCCTTAGGGGAACAGGGCTGGAATCCAGGCCCTGTCCTCTACCTTAAATTCCCAACACCACAGCCACTGGGCCAGACAGGGCCAGCGCTGGCCACGGCTCAGGCACAGGTGAGCCGCAGGCTCCCGCCCCGAGGCCACGCAGGCAGGCCCTGTGCCTGCACTGCACGCTTCCTTGTTGGTGGGTGGCCGCTGGCATCGCGGCCACGTCTCCCCCTGGGGTCCCCTCGCCCACCCATCCCAGGGCACATTCCTGAGCTCCTTGTCTCTTTGTCATCTGTGCAGTCCCTCAGCTCCCGACCTGGCGCGGAGTTTCTGATTCCCAGAGTCCGCGAGGTCTCCTTTGCGTCCAGCTGCACGCTCTGCCCCCCGCCAGGCTGCTCCTAGCTTTGGGGAGGGCTGCGGCTTCCTCCCTCCCTGGGGGATTTCCCAGGAATGAAGACCCGGCTGCCTTGGAAAGCGACCCCCACGCCTCCAACCCGACGCAGAAGAGAGACGATGGAGGGCGAGCTGAGAAGGGTACTTCCGAAACTCTTAGGATTTGATTCTTGGGGGGCTGGCATTGTGCACAGCACGGAGCGCTGCAGCCTGTGACACCTGCATCCCGTAGTCCGAGTCCCAGCTGCCCTGCTTCTGATCCAGCTCCCTGCTAACATGCCTGGGAAAGCAGCGGAAGCTGGCTCAAGTGCTTAGACCCTTGCCACCCACGTGGGAGACCTGGATGGAGCTCCAGGCTCCTGGCTTCAGCCTGGCCCAGCCCTAACCCCAGCCCTAGCTATTGCAGCTATCTGGGGAGTGAACCAGCAGAAGAAAGAATTCTCTCTCTCTCCCTCTTTCAAAACATAAATAAATGAAATAAATCTTAAATAAGAATTCTTCTGTACTTTAGTTTTTTAAAAAAATATTTATTTGAAAGCCAGAGCCACAGAGAGACGAAACACACACACACACAAACACACACACACACAAAGAAAGAGAAAGAGATCTTCCATCCACTGGTTCACTCCTCAGATGGCCGCAATGGCCAGGGCTGAGCCAGGCTGAAGCCAGGAGCCAGGAGCCTCATCCAAGTCTCCCACGGAGTGCAGAGCCCCAAGAACTTGGGCCATTTTCTGCTGCTTTTCCCAGGCATTAGCAGGGAGCTGGATCGGAAGTGGGGCAGTCAGGACTTGAACCAGAGCCCTTATGGGATGATGATGTGGCTGGCACCGGACCTACCCACTATACCACAACACCAGCCCCTCTTCTGTATTTTTAAGAAACCCACTTTGTCAAGTTCAGGAAACTCCTAGCGTCCTTGGGTCCTGCAAGACTTAACTGTCACCCAAAAGAAGCCAGAGACCGAATCACCGTGGAGAAGGGGCAGAGCTGCCCTCACCGTCCCTGTGCACTCCCAGGCTCCCGAGGGCGGCGACGCACACTGGCTGTGGGCATTGCTGTTGGGGGTGCGACCGCCCAGCCTCCCTCCACGCTCCTCCTGCCCTGCCAGAGGCTCCCAGCCCTGGAAGTGCGGGCACCTTGCCATTGTCTAGACAGGGCTGGCACCTGACACCGCCACCAGGAGGCTCCCTGATGGAGTCAGAGAACTGAGCTGGATAAGCAGTGTGGGCATCTACCCCTGTGGCGATGTCTTTCACACTCATATCCAACGAGAGCTGGACGTGACTCGCCGGCCACGGGAGACAGGCGAGACATGTGACTCTCACTCGTCACCTAGCCACACACCAGGCAGGCCCCAGGTGACTGTCAGTGGCAACTGCGTTTTTATGGGGGCTCCTCTGGGCCAGGCTCTCGGGAGGCATCCTGGGTCCATGACCTATAACCCTTACATCAGCCTCAGAAGGTATTGGGTCCATTTTACAGATGAGCAAACTGAGTTCGTGGAGCATCAGCTATGTAATTTGTGGGGCCTCTTGGTTAAAAAAAAAAAAATCTAGGGCCGGTGCTGTGGTGCAGTGGGTTAAAGCCCTTAGACACCTGATTAGACACCGGCGTCCCATAAGGGCGTAGGTTCTAGTCCTGGCTGCTCCACTTCTGATCCAGCTCTCTGCTGTGGCCTGGGAGAGCAGTAGAGGATGGCCCAAGTCCTTGGGCCCCTGCACCCACGTGGGAGACCTGGAAGAAGCTCCTGGCTCCTGACTTCGGATTGGTGCAGCTTCAGCCGTTGCAGCCATCTGGGGAGTGAACCAGCAGATGGAAGACCTCTCTCTCTGTCTCTACCTCTCTCTGTAACCCTTTCAAATAAATAAAATAAATCTTAAAAAAATACCATCTGGGCGTGAGCCCCAGGCTCCCATCCCTTCCCCGCTGCGTCCGCCCCGCTCCCAGCTGAGCCCAGAGCTCCGGGTACCTGGAGTAGCAGGAGAGGCCGGTGCTGAGGATGGTGTTCAGCACAGCCATGGTCACAAAGTAATCGTGGAAGCTGGTGCGCACCAGCGCGTCGGGGAACGCGTATGCAGAGTAGGCGATGGCAGAGCCTGGGGAGGGAAAACAGCCTCGGAACCAAGCCCGGCCTGGCGCCGGCACCCCCACACCTCTGCCTGCCTCTGTGCCCTGGTTTTTCCCACGATCCGTGCCCAGGGTGTGCTCCTCCGCGCCCTCTGCCTGCCCAGAGCCTTTGCCGCGGCCCCCACCACCTCCTGCCTGCACAGATCCTGCCGAGGACACAGAGGCACAGAGAGGGCTAGCAGCTCACCCAGGGTCACACAGCTAGAATGCGGCAGAGCCCAGGGTGCAGCCCAGGCAGCCTGGTGACAGAGGCCCAGCTTTTAGCCACGTGCTGTCCCCCCAGGAGGACAGGGCCACTGTGCTCAGCTCTCCTCTCGGGGGTGGGCATCTCGCCCGCCGGTGCCCCCAGGGTGCTTCTTGTGGAGACAATGGTGCTGGTAGTAGGGCCGCTGCTGGGGCTGGGAGCCAGGCCCACAGGGGCTGGGTTGCTGTCAGGTTTCTGAGTTTGTGAGCCGTGGGCTCCCAAGCACCTCTTAGACACCTGATTGCCCACCGTCCTTTCCAGAGGGGCCAGGTGAGCTTCACCTGGAGGGAGGGCCTGGATCTGCACCCCCCCACCCCCGCAGGGCCCTCCTGGGAGAGACGGCCCACAAGGCCTCTCAGCCCAGCCCCTGAGCAACCATGCCTGTGGTCACTCATTACACCAAAGACCTCAAAACCCTAGGAATCCGGGGCTGGCTCTGCCTGCCACACTGGCATCCTATATGGGTGCCAGGTTGTGTCCTGGCTGCTCCACTTCCGATCCAGCTCCTTGCTAAAGGCCTGGGAAAGCAGTAGAAGATGGCCCAAGTCCTTGGGGCCCTGCACCTGCGTGGGAGACCCGGAGGAAGCTCCTGGCTCCTGGCTTCAGCCTGTCCAGCCCTGGTTGTTGCGGCCATTTAGGGAGCGAAACAGCAGGTGGAAGACCCCTCTCTCCCTGTCTGTCTCTGTCTCCTTCTCTCTGTAAATCTTTCAAATAAATATTTTAAAAAGAAATAACTTCAAAGCCCTTGGATTCCTAGCTCAAGGTGGAAACTCTGCCACCTGTGCCACTTCACAGATGGATTAGGGAAGGTGGTCCCACAGGCGTAAGGGCCTCCTGGTTCCATGCTCCCCACCAAGTGGGGAACAGAAAAGCCCTCCTCCCGGCCTGACGCCGTGGACAGCTCCCCATCTGGGCCAGGAAGAACCTCAGGTGACACCAGAGTGGGGGAGCCCTGGGCCCCGCCCCGAACTGCTCAAGGGGAGCCAGGTGTGAGGAGGAGGGGCATCGGGCATGGCGGCTGGCCTGGGGCACTGTCTGCAGGACAGCTGGGATGGGCACAGGTCCTGGAGGGCAGGGCGGCCTTCCCGGAGGCAGCGGCAGACGCAGACACAGCTCTGGTTCCAGGTAAGGAACGTGAGCGTCCGTCCGTCCTCTTTCTGGCCACAGGGAGCAGAGGGAGGAGTCCCTGAGCAGGCTGGGGATCAGAGCTGTGGTAGGGAGGGGGCCGAGGCTTGGGCGTCTCTGAGGTTCCCAGGGCAGAGTTTTCACAGCCCTGCAGGGAAGGGAAGAGACGGTTTGGGGGAACGGCATGTGTGAGGGCGCCAAGCAGGGAGCCAGGGATGGAGGAAGAGAGCTCGGTGCAGTAGCTCACCCCACGGGCTTCGGCTGTGACGCTAGCTCTGGTCTTTATGAGTGTGCCAACATCCTCACTGAGCCTCACTTACAGCAGGGGTGTGGTCAGAGCACCGACCCTGGGGATGCCGCCCTCTGTTGCCGCCCAGCGCAGGGCACTGCTCCAGGGTCTTCCCCTAGAAGATACTTAGGGGTAGCTCATGGCTCAGTGGTTAACACTCCACTTGGAAAGCCCACAGCCCGGATCAGAGCACCCGGGTTTAAGTCCCAGCTCTGCGTGCAATTTTAGCTTCTGCTAATGTGCACCCCAGGAGGCAGCAGGTGGTGGCCCAAATACTTGAGTGCCTGCCACCTACGTGGGGAGACCAAGATGAGTTCAGGGCTCCTAGATTTGGCCAGGCCCAGCCCTGGCTTCCGTGGGCATTTGGGGAGTGGATCAGCAGAAACAAGTCGGTCTCTGTCTCTCTCCTCCTTGCTGATTCTCTTTCATAGAAATAAAACAATAGAATTTAAAAAATTAGAGCCCTTGAATGAGGAAGCTGTCCTGCTGACTTCACGGGTGAGATGCCCTGGGCTGGGAGAGGCCAAGAAGCAGGCCGGGGTGGGGGAGCACAGGGCCCGCAGTGCCACGGTACAATGGGTGCAGGTGCGGGTGTCCACAGCTTACGCCAGGTGCTGACTCCTGTCACCAGTAAGTGCGAGGCAGGCGACCAGGGCCAGGAAAATGCAGGCTAAGGACTGTGGACTTCACCCCAGGTGACCAGGAGCCCTGGGACGTTGTAAATGGGAGGGGTGGTGTTCGAGGAGATGTTGTAGAAACAGCTGGGTGGGCCCGGGGCCCGGGCCAAGGCGTAGTCAGTAAAGCCACCGCCTGGTTTGAGTCCGGGCTGCTCCACTTCCGATCCAGTTCCATGCTAATGTGCCTGGGAAAGCAGCAGAAGATGGCCCAAGTGCTTGGGCCCCTGCACCCAAGTGGGAGACCCAGAAGAAGTTCCTTTCTCCTGGCTTTAGCCTGGCACTGCCTCTGGCCATTGTGGCCATTTGAGGAGGGTACGAACAGATGGAAGACCTCTCTCTCTCTCCTCTCTAACTCTGACTTTCAAATAAAATAGAAATATTTTATATTAATACAATTAATACATTATTAGTAATTATAATAAAAATAAAACCTTAAAAAAACCAAGGCGCTGTGGCCATGGGCAGGCGAGTGGCCTGGGACGTGCTCTAAGAGAGCAGGGCGTAGCGGTCAGCAGCACACAGAGGCGAGACGCTCGGCTGAACCTGGTAGCTGATCAGATGTGGGAGGGATGACGGAGGCACGGACAGGTCACCCAGGGAGCTGGACCGAGAGCACAGGCCCAGGGACCCAGTCAGCTTGCTTACCCAGGAGAGCAGAGGAAGGGGCTGGTGGGGTGGCGGGGGGATGAGAGCCGGGAGGGAGTACAGCCCTGGGGCCAGAGACAGACACAGGCCCCTGTGCCAGCCCCAGAGGGAAGGTGCCTGCCTCGGCCCTGGTGGTCGGGGCAGGGGGAGGAGGTGGGGCTCAGTACCCAGTACCCAGTTTCAGCGAATGTGGGGCGGGGGGACCACACAGCCAGGCAATGGGGGTGCAGAGGGAGTGAGGCAGTAAGACTGTGTGAGTGCATGTGTGCACATTCGGGAACCCCAGAATGTTCATGGACAATGGATTTAAAGGTAAGTATAGGGGCTGGCGCTGTGGTGCACCTGCTCACGCAAGCATCCACGTTCCAGGCCAGGCTGCTCCGCTTCCGATCCAGCTCCCTGCTATGGCCTGGGAAACAGTGGGAGATGGCCAAGTGCTTGGGTCCCTGCACCCACATGGGAGACCCACAAGAAGCTCCCGGCTCCTGGCTTTGGCCTGGCACCACCCTGGCCATTGTGGCCATTTGAGGAGTGAACCAGCAGGTGGAAGACTTTCTCTCTCTCTCTCTTTCTCTGTAACTCTGACTTTCAAATAAAATAAAAATAATGTCCAATGCCTCTTCCCAGCTGTGACAGAGGCAGCCTGGAGGTGCAGGGGCCGGCTCCCCAGGCTGGTGGGACTCAGGGGGGCTGTTCAGGGCTCCTGCAAGCCAACTGGTAAACCTGTCATCATGAGGCAGTAAATCACAGACTCGCCATCACATGCATCGTGTTAACAGAAGTCCTAAGTACTCAATCTGCTGTACCCGTGGAAGCTCTACGTGTTGCCACGTCACCCCTCCCACCTCATCATGGAGGGGAGTGCGGGTGGACTGGGCCTCCAGCCTAGCAGGTAAGATGCCCACACCCCACGGCTGCGTGCCAGTTTGCGACCTGGCTCTGGCTCCTGACTCCAGCTTCCTTCAGTGCAGACCCTGGGAGGCCGCGGTGATGGCTCAACTCACTGGGTCCCCGCCACCCACGTGGGAGACTCAGATTGTATTCTTGGTTTCAGTCTTTTTTTTTTTTTTTTTTTTTGAGTAGACAGAGAGAGGGAGAGAGAGAGAGAAGTCCTCCATCTGATGGTTCACTCCCCCAAATGACAACAATGGCCAGAACTGGGCTGATCTGAAGCCAGGAGCCTCTTCCAGGTCTCCCACGTGGCAGCAGGGGCCCAAGGACTTGGGCCATCTTCCACTGCTTTCCCAGGCAGGCCAAAGTAGAGAGCTGGATGGGAAGAGGAGCAGCTGGGACTTGAACCAGCACCCACAGGGGATGCCGGCTCTGCAGGCAGAGGCTTAGCCCACTATGCCACAGCACAGGCCCCCTCCCGGTTTCAGTCTTGGTCCTGCCCTCCCCGCTGCAGGCATCTGGGGATTGAACCAGCAGATGGGAGTTCTCTCTTTCTGCCTCCCAAATAAATAATAGACATTTTTAATTTTATGAAACAGTGAATTAAAAGAAGTTCATTTCGATGCATAGTTTTTTTCATGACACGCATTTTCCATGAAGTGTTGAAGACCCCCATCCTAATGCATGGATCTCAAAATTTTCTGCGCCACATAAATTGATCTTTTCAATTCCATGTTCCATGAACTATTTGCGGCAGCTTTGAGCTCCCACCACAGGAAGCAGCAGACACTACAGATGGGAGCTGTTGTCCTCAGAGCACCAGCTGCAGACCAGCCTCTTCTAAAAAGGCTCCCCAGGACCCCAGCAAACCCGTTGCCGCCCTAGGGTGCACCCAGCTCGGGGTGGGGAGGCAGGTGGCTGGGTCATGGGGAGAGACGGCAGGGGCAGGGCCGCACATACCCAGGCTGAAGAGGTTGACAGCGCCGTAGTCCAGGAAGTAGCAGATGTGCCGGGCGTTCCTGGACATGGAGCTGAAGGTATGTGCGCAGCTGGACGCGAGGGGGTACACACAGCTGGTGCACATGTACACGAGCATGGGCCACGAGTAGCTGTCATTGGGGATGTCAGTCACGTAGAGCGCAGTTACAAACCTCCACACGAAGAACCTGCAACACACAGCATGGCGCACTCAGCCTCCGCGGCCGCAGCTGCCCGTCCTCGCCCTGTGCTTGGGAGGGCTGAGAGTCTGCGCTGGGTTTGGGGAGACCCTCCCAGGTGTGGGTGCGTGGGGGAGGGAGAGGGAGAGAGGTTGAGTCTGCCGTGGGATGGGCTGTAGGACACGGATTGTGGGAGGATTCGAGGGGGCTCCCCCAGCTCTCCTGCTCTTCCCTGCTCCTGGGCCTGGCTCGATGAGATTCACCTCCTGCTGCTTCTGCCTCGGGGCCGCCCAGGTCTCCCAGAAGCCCTGGTTAGGGTGTCCTGAGCTTGCGCAAGTCAGCCATGCTGTCTGGGCCTCACCAAGCAGGCATGACAGTTGCACACTTGCCAGAGTTGCTGTGAGGATTCGAGCAAAGACACAGAGCCACGGGTGTTTGTGGTCAGCCCGGGACCCGCAGCAGCAGGGGAGCCTTGGTTGGCGGCACTTGTGCGGAGCAGAGAGCGAGGACACACGGATGGGGCTTCAGGCCGGCAGAGGGAGGTCTCGCTGAGAAAGGTGGGGGCTGGAACCAGCCTCACACACCTCACAGCTTTGCTTACTGAGCAGAGAGCAGAGAGGGTCAGGCCCTCAAGCCTTACCAGGAAAGCTCCCGTGCCCTAGCCTGTCCAGAAGTCAGAAGACAAACCTGGGCCAATGCACCCTCCAACCCAGTGCAGGGGAGAGAGAGACAGAGCCCAGGCCCAGGCTGGACGAGAGTGGTCTCCATACGCAGGAGCGTGGCGGCCCTGGGGGCTGAGACCGGGCAGGGTGGCAGCAAGGTCTCGCCCAAGGAGGTCATTGTCATTTTACAGTTTACTGCACTGAAACGCTCTGGTCCCCAGAGCTCCTGAGTGAGAGGGGCCGGCCACGGGGCTGGCAGGTACCAGAAGGGCAGCAAGTGAGTCCAGATGTTGAGGGTCTCATTGGTCATCTGGAAAAGGCTGAGGATGCAGGCAGTGGCGGAACTCTGCGGGTGCCGGTAGCCAAAGAGGATGCCTTGCTCATGGAACACCTACGGAGGGAAGCAGAGAGGAGCTGAGGGGGGGCGGCATCTCCAGCCGCCATCGCGCTGCCTCCCGGGCTGGGCACTGTGAGCCGGGGACACCTGGCCAAGTCCTCCACCTGCCGGCCTCCTCCCCTCCCTCCTCTCCCAGGAGCTCCTAAAACCCCAGGCAGGAGTCCGGCCTGTCTTGGTGCTCCCAGAAGCCCTTACTCTTGGTATGAACATTGCCTAAGACTCCGTGTGCGCACCCTCTGGCTGGGGCCCACAGCCCGGTCTTTGGAGGCCTTCGTGGTTGGCTGACATAGATGCTGTCTGTCTGAGCCAACAAGCCCCGGATGGCAGGGGCCGGTGGGAAGATTTCTGTAGAAAGCCTGCCCCAGCTCCCAGCCCCAGCACCCTCAGGGCCGGGATGTTCACAGGGCGCTTCATAAAGGCCTTTTGATGATGAAGCCGATGATGCTGGTGCCTGTGCTACCGGGGCGGGGTGGGGGGCTTCCCAGAGAGGCCACCCCCCTTCCCCACCCAGGGAGCCAGCTAGACAAGTCGCACCGCCCTTGGACTGGCCCGGCACAACACGGGCTATCCACCCAGCTGCAAGCACCATACCACATCCACTGAAAATGAGAAGATGAGAGGACAGGAGCGATCTTGGCTCAGGACACAGTAGGAATGAAGAGACTGGACACTGATCATATTCCCACCGCGATCGTAAGATCCTTGCAAGGCTCAGCACCGCTGAAGGGGCAGAGGCTGGGAGTGACGGAGACAGGCTGAGGCCCTAGGCTGCAGGGGACATCATCCCCTGTGTGGTTGATCCAGGCAGGGCCGGGGAACTGCCGGCCGGCGGAATCACTTGTTCTGGCTCTGCCAAGGCAACCGCAGGAGGGACTCAATGAACTCAATAAATAAGGCAGCAGGCTCATTTTTAAGTTGACCATTTTTTTCGTGGCCTGCGAATGATGCTATGAATATCCAAATGGCCCTTGGGTGGGAAGGGGGAGAAAGTTTCTGACCCCTGACCCCTGGCATTGAGACCAAGGCTTGTCAGTCTCGACCCTGGTGACGTCCTGGACACAGAATCCACAGTTGTCAGGGGCTGGCCCAGCGTGGCTTCGCCTGTTAAACGCCAGCGGCCCATGCTCTGCCTACACTCCCCTGCCAGGACACAGTAAGGACTCCAGCGGCTCCAGGTATGGTCACCACGGCAACATCTCCTCCAGCTTAGAACCAGTGCCCTCGGTCAATGTCGTTAGGACCTTTGAAAGGTGGATTTTAAACGAGCCCGTTAACTGAGGCAGATAACAAAGGTGCTGTTAGTAACCCTAAAAATACATCAGCCACACTGGAACGTAAAGCCTGCTGCGGTCTTCCAGGGAAGGCTGGGAGGATGGAAGCAGCCAAGCTCCTCTCCCTGGGCCGCCCGCTTCTTAACCTGACAGCGGCTCTGCATTCAGAAACAGCCGATGTCTGACACACTGCAGGTGCATCTCGAGCTGCGTGCTTGGATGACATGGATGCTTCTGTCTGAGCCAACAAGCCCCCACTGGTCAAAAGGCCAGAGGGACCCCTGAGGGAGGAGCGGATCGTGGGCTCCAAGCTTTGGAGAACTCTCGGTTCCATCCTGGGTTAAGCCGGTCAGCGAGGGGCAAGGGGGATCATGAAGTTGTTTCATGGTCCGAGGAAGAAATGCTATCAGAATCAGGCGTGGGTCTTGGCTAATTATGGCCATTTGTTCCAGAGTTTGAGTCACCATGCCCTCCTGCTGATGTGCCCGGGGTTACAGCCAACAGAGGCCCGTGATGCACAGCGCAAATCCTGGCCTGCAGCTTCCCTCCCCACGGGGCTGATAACCAGAAGGCAGACCGGCCAGGGCCACGTGTGGGAGGTTGGCCCATGCGTGGCTCGGTCAAAGGCTCCTCTGCAGAGACTATGGCTCCTAGGAACTCCTCACTGGGTCTCTCTCTCTCTCTCTCTCTCTCTCTTTTTTTTTTACCTTTCAAGTTTCTTACTTTTTAAAAGAATTTTAAAATGAATTAAAGCTTGGGTTGCTTGTTAAAATGCAAAAGCTCCAGAAAGGAGCAATTATGAATTATTCACTCTTTCTTCTGCATTAGTGCAGCAGATTAAAGGAGCATTATTCAATGGCCCTTGTAACAGCGTAATAAGGAAGACTGTAGTCAGGATCCTAACGATAGGTGTAAGGGCTGTGGCAATGGGCTCTGGCTGTGCTGGAGACGCTGGGCTCAGCTCTGAAGACGGCACAGAAGAGTGGGAGTTTACAGTCAGGAGCAAGCTGGGGCGGGGAGCGGGGGTGGCAAATTACCAGGAAGAAACACCAGGGGCGAGGGGGACTGGCCAAAGCTACCCGAGAGCGGCAGGCGCTGAAGCTCACTAGGCTAATCCTCCACCTGTGGCACCGGCACCCCGGGTTCTAGTCCCGGTTGGGGCGCTGGATTCTGTCCCGGTTGCTCCTCTTCCAGGCCAGCTCTCTGCTGTGGCCCAGGAGTGCAGTGGAGGATGGCCCAGGTCCTTGGGCCCTGCACCCCATGGGAGACCAGGAGGACGCACCTGGCTCCTGGCTTCAGATTGTGCAGTGCACCCGCTGTAGCGGCCATTTGGAGGGGGTGAACCAATGGCAGGAAGACCTTTCTCTCTCTCTCTCTCTCTCTCTCTCTCTCTCTCTGTTTAACTCTGCCTGTTTTAAAAAAAAACAAACAAAAAAACTACCCGAGAGGATTCTGGGTGAAGGCAGGCAGGGGCGACCAGACTTCCCCAGGGGTCGGTGGAGGCCGAGGAACCTGACCCGGTGTCCAAGGTGAGTAGGAATGAGGGAGGTGGGGGGCTCTTCCTAAACTGACTCGGCAGGGTTCTTGATTTTGCAAGGAAGCTCAGACGCCCCTAGAAGGTTCTGGAACCAACTAACAACACATGGCCAAGCAAAGACTCTCACCACTGTATGATGCCAAAGATCTTGTGACCAGGCCCTGGCCAACGAGGCCGAAAGCACCACGTGCCGGGGGTGGGTGGTCCCCAGGCAGAAGGCGGGGGACCAGGCTGCGGAGCTCAGAGACTGGGGTAGCCAGGGTGGGCGGTGCCTGGACAGTAGCCAGAGAGAGGCACGGCTTGAATCTGCCCAAGATGAGTCACGGGGTGATCTCCCCTCTCTGAATGTTTGCGTTCTCATTGGCAAAGAGAGAGATGGGGCGGGGGAGACTGACACAGCCAGGAACCAGAGAGGGAGCAGAAGGGCTGGGAACTCCATAAATTGGGTATCTTGGCCAGATCTATGGGGAGGGCTGGGCATAGATTTTACAAACCTGCCTCCATCTGACCTGCTAGCCTCCCCCCGCCACAGATTGGAAATCCCACACTAAACATGCAATAGGAGCAGGGTTTAAAGCAGCCCCTCTAGAACAACTGGTGACAGACAAAGAACAGGAGTGTGTCTGAGGACCAGCGACGTGCCACTTAGAAGGGGACTGATGGCCACGGCCCTCGCCAGCATGACCCTCTGCCTACTGCATCCAAATGCCAGTATGCATGCTCACTCCAGCTCCGAGCCCCTCTGCACACGGACAGGAGAAGGGGTCTCCCCATCTTCCCACTCCCCCTTCACTCATCCCCACGGGGTAGATTTTCATAGAACGCATGGAAACGACCTACTCAAGAAAACAATTCTGCATTCCAAATCCAGTGTGACCCCAAAGGCAAATGACAATCATTGCCTTAACATCCGGGGGCTCAGCCTCATTCCCAAGCCCCTCATGGTAGCAGGCGCCTGCACATTTGCACAGCGGAACCGATCTGTGAGACTCCACCTTGCATCCCCGGTTGCAAGCTGGGCAATTTGGAGGAAAATGAAATCAAATTGCGTGCAGCCTGTTATTTAGAAGCGAGAAACCCCAGGCACTGAGAGCGAGGGGCTCGGCCATGAGTTTTCCCTTCGAATGCTGCCGCAAAGTCAGCGGCTAGAAGGCTCCCTGGCATTGCTAAGACCCCGTGCACCTGTTGCCTGCTGCCTGCTGCCTGCTGCCTGCTGCCTGCAATTCCGCTACGGCGGTTTTAAACCTTTGGCTTTTCTCGCTATTAAGCCACAAGTCGCCTGGGGGAGAAAATGGAGTGGATTTTGGTTGTTGGAAAACAGGAGTGGCGGAGCAGGGTGGGGAGATGGGCAGGCCAGGCACGCACTCTGCATTTCCCACCCACAGCTCTCAGTATCCTTGCAACCACCTGGGGAGGAAGAGCCCTTTGGTTTTCAGAAGACGAATTTTCTGCAATTTGTCCAAGTTCCCAGAAAGAGTGGAAGCAATGCCTAAACATAAATGCAAACCCCCACTTCCATTTCTCCCCGGCCTCTTGCCTGCCAGCATTCACTGCTGCCGCTCTGATGAAACAGCAGACGCTCCCGCCCTACCCTGAGTGTGGTTCCAGGCTCTCGCGGGCTCCTCCGAGTGGCATTTTCGTCCTCTTGTTTCCAATGCTGTTGTGGACTGAATCACATCTCCCCCACCCCAAAGTCCTAATCCCCAGCACCTCAGAAGTCACTGTATTTGGAGTGCAGGTCCTCCGAGAGGTGCCTAAGTTAGAACGAGGCTGTTGGGATGGGGCCCTAATCCAAAATGCTGTGCCCCTCACAAGAAGAAGAGACGTGGACCCAAAGGAGGACCACAGGGCACAGAGGGCCGAGGGCATGCAGAGGCAGTGAGCCAAAGAGAAAGGACACAAATCCTGCCAACACCTTGACCTTGGATGCCCAGCATGGAGAACCAGGAAGAAATGTTTCTGTGGTTCAACCACGCAGTCCACGGGATTTTGCATGGCAGCCTAGAAAATGTGTGCATGTGGTGAGCTTGCCTGCCCGTCCCTAAGCCAGTGCCTCTCCAACTCTTCTGCAGGTGTCTGCAGATCACAGGGAGACTTCACTGCGGTCGGAGCTGGGCTGAGAGTCTGCAGTGCTAACAAGCTCCCAGGCCTGCTGCTGCTGCTGCTGCAGGTGCCTCTGCTTCCAA